CATTGAGCAGCTGAATTGTTTTCAGATAGGGACCATGTATGTCAGCTGTAGAGAAATATTAATGTAACAAAACATTTGGACATCTCTGATAGTTTTCTTCATTTAATTCTGCTTTCTTCTCTCAGCAACAGTAACAGCAAATTAACCCATCTATTCCAAAGATTGAAATTTTTTGACTTTTTCATGAAATTTGTGTATGTTACCAATAAAAATTCAAGGAACAAGAATTTGAAGATAACACATTTCATTATGTTCTACTGTTATGGGTGTTTCAAAAATAGATCATTAGGCATTGAAGGGTTAAAGCTCTGAGCAATAACACCAGTGTGGGGAGTTTCTCCTTCAGCTATCCTTCTGACACCTACTAAGTTTTCAAGTTCTAATTTCAGACCACCTCTGGGCTCTGCTTTCACAGTGATCTGAGTTAAGATTTGCACAGTATCCTCTCTTAGTAGTCTCAGTTTCTTTATTTAAAAAGATGGTTAATAACATTGTTTCTTACTTGGGGAATATCTCTGAAATGAAACGAGAATTTACACATTATTACTGAGTTCAAGTCTTAATCAATTTTAGCTCTTAATTAGTATTATTAGAATTATTATATGTATTTTTAAAGTTATCATCTTTCTAAAATCGTATCATTTAATAGCAATTTAATAAACACTTGATGAATGAACGAGCAAACAATACTCATACCACCTGTGCTCACAACCCTCTGCCATCTCTGTTGTCTGCTACCTAAGTCATATCCACCTCCTAAGTAGGCATAGAGTGATCTGGAATGGACCCTAATTTGTGACTCCTTTCTGCTACCATCCACACGGAGCTCCTTATATTTGCTGGGGAGCCTTCCTATTGTTACCCTAACTTACCTCTTCTTTTTGGAAGTATTTGCCTCCTTTAGATAGCAAACCATCCCAGCAATTCCATCCACTCAGTGGTGACCCCAATGCACATGATAGTACCTCCTTATTTTTCCAGATGATGGTGTTCATTTTCTTCTCATCTCCCTGAGAAATGGATACTGAAGTTTTCTTCACAGCACATCCCATATTGTCTGTCACTAAAACCTGCCAAGCTGCATGCTCACTACACTTTTAACTCCAAAACGCCACATACATGCCCTATTTTTTTTTTAAATCAGTTTTACCATCTCCTCACAGGAAAAAGAACTTTCTCCTTCTTCTCCAACACACCTACAAACCGTGGCTATTTGTTCTACCCCTACCCCATCCAGCCTTTCTCTAAGCTCCTCCATAGTATTCATTCTCTAAAACATTCTCCTCATTAAAAAATGTTTCATAAAACCATCTGTTTTAACCCTAGTTCTTGAGAAAACCCTAGTTCTTGAGAAACTGAGATTTTGAGATGTAATACTTTTTTTTTTTGGTACCGGGGATTGAACTCAGGACCTTGTGCTTGCCAGGCAGGTGGCAGAACCCCTGAGCTAAATCCCCAGCCCTTCAAACTTTTTGTGTATGGAGAACCTGGCCTTGAATCTATGCATTCTGAATCCAGGGAATAGTGTTCTTAAACACTATTTTGATATTTTATATTAGAGAAACCTGTTCTTGTGCTCATGCATCTTGGAAATGGGCCCATGTATACTATCTCTGACTCCTTTCTGCTATTCTCCCAAGGTGTCCCCTATGCTTACCTGGGCATTTCCTACAGATATCCTGGTTCACCTCTTCTGTCCTCAGAAGTATTTGGCTTCTTCACAGGGCAATCTATGGCTCAGCATTTCAGGGTCAGCTCAGTCGTGGCAGTACTAGGAATATCTTTTCTTGTTCCTCCTTGTAAAATGATGACGAATACCTATGTTTTCTTCAGTATTCCATATTGTTTGCCATTCATTGCTGCCAAGGGATCCTAATATAATATTGAAGTTTGCAATCTTGCTATGCTCTGAGCAGCCCCTCTGTCTCTGAAGGAATCCAACCACCACCATCCTAGGCTGACCAAAGGCCACTCTAACCTCTCCCTCCATGCTCTTTCACCTACTATGGATGCATAAGCATGAATTAATAAGGCCCAGTATGCATGGCTGCACCCCGTAACTCCCATCATTATTCAGCCCTGCTATCAATAGCAACCACTATTCTCAGTACTTTCTTGGGCTTAGTCCTTGGAAGGTACCCACAACTCCTTTCACTGAACTCTCCCCTTTGGGGCCCTATAAAAGATCTCAAAACTTGTGTGAGAGTAACCATTCTGGTCTAAATTCCAGGGTGGTCCCTCACAGGCTTGTTCTGAAATAAACCTGTTCTACTGAGCTTATAACTTTGTTTATTTCCTCCCTTTACCTAACAGTGTCAGCCTCTAGCTCCCCATATTTCTCTTATGCTTTGTAGTAGGTAAGATTCTGAAGATGTGCCCCAAAGATTCCCATCCTTTGCATATTTAATCAGACATTAACCTAAGTATTGCCGTGAAGGGACTTTGCAGATATTAGAAAGGTCAGGGACCACAAAATGAGGGGATTATCTGGTTTATTACCTTCTGTCCTAGTCAAATCACCTGAGTATCTTCAAGCAGATGAATTTTTTTGGCAATAGTAAGAGCAATAGAATGATAGGAGCGAGAAAATAAGAAAGAAGGCAGAAGGGAAAGTGAGAAAGAATTTAGGTGCGATAAGGTCTTTATCCATCACTGCTGGCTTTGAGGATGCATAAATTCCATAATCCAAGGAATGAATGAATGATCTGTACACAAGGAAAAGGATCCTTGGCTGAAAATCAATAAGGTAACAGGGACTTCCATCCTATGATTATGCAGACTTGAATTCTTGCAACCACCGGAATGAGTTTGATTGTGGATCTTTCCCTAGAGCTCCAAAAATGAACGCAGCCTGACCAACACCTTGATTTTACCCAGTGAAACTTAAGTCTGACTTCTGACGTGCTGAGCTAGGAAATTATAGTTTTATGGGGTCTTAAATCACCAAAATCTGTGGTAATTTGTTACAGCAGCAATAGAAAGCTTCTGTTTTTAGTTTTGCATCTTTTCTCATGTCTGCCCTGTATGTTTCTTCTCTGCATACATCTCCATCTCCTTTTGTATGTATCTGTAATTAAACGTGTTTCCATATCTCAACTCTACATTTCTAAGAGAAGAAAAATCAGATTTTGCCAGCCTAAGAGTTGAATTGAATCCCCTAATCAGATGACCAATATCCACCCTGTCAAAGGGAAAAGCATGTTGGAGAATGTTTACAGTTTGTCCCAAGATTTCCAGGGTCAGGTTCTTTAAGACAACTAGGGGGATGAGATGTAAGGTGAGAGAGAAGCCCTTCTCTAGTAGAGCTGCTTAGGAGATATAAGTAGCCTGGAATGGATTAAAACTAAAAATGATGAAGAACAGATCTAGGTTCTGAGAGAAGAGAGTCTGAAAAGAATGAAGATTATATTTTTCTTAATCACATTGAGTTAAGTCTGAACCAAATTTCCAAATCCAGGAGAGACTAAAATAGAATCTCACCTTCACAAATTTGGACATATAAGTTAATCATACTGTGATTTTTGTGTGTGTGTAATCGTGTGAAAAATTTGTACTATGAATATATATTTATACTTTATTTTGTTTTTTATCACTTTCCCCATTCTCTCAACCATGTAGGCTCAGCAAAATAAAATGGCAAGTAGAATAATTAAAAGCACAAGCAGCTGATATTAAGTTCTGCAAAGATTAGTTCTGGCACAAATTTTATTTAATGTTATAGAATAGTGACCTGAGGAAATAAAAGTGCATTCATTTGAGAAGGCTTATTGACAAAACATGAGCAGGAATGCAACAAAATTCAAAATGGAAAAGTGGTTCTGGGAAATTGTGTACTTAAGCATTCTGAGAAATTCCTCTAAACACTGGCTCCATAAATCCAAATGTCTAGCTCTATTATTTAAAGCTGCACCTTTCAGCACAGTTAGCTTGGAGGGCAGTGCAGGAGGCAAGCATTGCTTACTCTGAATGTGCAAAACCTAAGCAAACATTTATGAGTCTAGTTTTTAACTCTTCATCATCTATTGAGGTTTTCCCACACTTTGAGGGCCATATTCCATGACCTAATTCTCATGCATTCTCTTGCTTTGTCCTCTCTGCATGTTTACCAGCACAGCGTCATCTATGAATTAGAGCACTAATTATTAGAGCACTAATAGATCTCATCAGTGCACCCACCAGCAAACATAAGCTTTGATATAGCCATGAGATAAATAAGACAAATCATAATACCTGGTTTTCTTAAAGTAATTGAGTCAACAAAGATTTTCTTGATATTGGCTACTATATGCAAAGGAGTATTACTGGTGTTAGTGATTCATGAACTCACATCTCATCAAATTGTGACATGTCGGATGAAGAAATTGGGGTCTTTATAGCAGTTTGCTTAAAACTATATAGTATATCGATCTGGGTCTAAAAATTAGGTCTTTCTTCATATTCCTCCTGCAAATGCATTTAAAGAATATGGAAATATATATCAAAAATTAAAACATGCAGTAGAGTTCTTGTCACACTGCTCCAAGCTACTGGTCCTCTCATTGTTTAAGGTAAAAGTATTAGTTTTGCCATTTTTAATACTATGAAAACTAATTGGAATTGAATTATAAACAAAGAACAAATAATTGTCATCTGTGATGAATATATAGCCTTTGTCAATAGATTTACCCCCATGTGAACTTATGGTGCCTCAGATTGAGTATTAACTAACCAACTTCTGTTGGAAATCAGTCAGTAGTTTTTAGAATGAACTCATTACTTCTTTTGTCCAATCTGGTCTGCCATATATTCTGAATATAGGCAACTTATATTGATCATGTTGATGAATAACACACTTCTTTGCCAGATAAGGCCAGTCAAAATCCACTGCAATCACCCCAGACTGCTCCATCTGTCTGATCATTCTCCCCAATCCATTTCCACCCATCACCAAGTGAGGTCCTAAGTTCTGCTCATTTGACCTCCTCTGATGAGTTACAGTTTGTTTCCAAACATTCACTTACCATAAAGGATTGTATATCCTCAACTCCAGTGAGCTTGGCCATATGAGTTGCTTTATCCAATGGTGCGTGAGGGGATATAATTTAATGACATATGTACAAAAGCTGTAAGAGCCATTGCACATTTTGACCATTCTTTTTCTCTTTTCCTCTGTGATGATAAGAGAGGCTCATGTAGGGCTGGTTCTTCAATTTAAAGAGACATATGGAGCAATGTTTCAATTAGATAAAGACATTACTATGAGAGCTAAATAAACTATTTTTGCAAGCCACTAAAATCTCTGATGTTTTATTAATGAAGTGTCACCAACCTGCTACTGACATACATTCTAACACCTCTGGAAACTGTTACCTTGTCTTAGTCTCATTCTGATGATCTTCATTCAAGTCCTTCCTTGTCCCTTGCTGTAACCTTGGAATATTATTATGACTTTACCTGTCAGCTTCCATTCATCTCCTTAATTGTAACTTATTCTCAATATTGCAAAATAGAGGTCTTTCTAAATGGAAATCTCTTTATTGGAATTTATTTATGACTGCAAATTATTGTCACAACAATTTCCATATCCTTAGTATAGGTAAAACAGTGTCATTATAATCCACTACATCATTATTTAACCACATTGGTCACTAAATAGTACTTTAATTTTCAGATTTTATACTATGGCCTTTGAAGAAAATACAGTATAGAAAGCCTGTTTGGGCATACATATTTTCACATTTGTTAGTATTTTTGCTGAAACACTTCTCATTTGTGTGATGATGCAGTGAATTCTTACTTCTCTCTTAAAGAGTGTCTTAAGTGAATTTGTCTTGTAAAGGGTGTGTTCCCCTGTACTCCCAGAATCCTCAGTGGTGCTATGATACGGGTTACACTGCAAACTGAGCAGGGATTTAATTGTCTATTTTTTTTCTGCTAAAGGATGAAAAATTTGAAAAACAGGTCTTCCTGATCTACACATGCCAAATGGCAATCATCATGCTTCGAACAAAGCACGTAATCAACATATGTCTGATAAGGTAAATGTATCAACATTTGAAATTATACCACATTTTATATACTCAAGGACCTATCCATGTTTATATATAAAACTAAAATATAAAATTTAGTATTTGAAACTTCATGTCAACATTGAAATATTTAACAAATATTTTAACTAAGTTGATTACTTAGGTTTATATGTAATGTCTTATATGCAATAAAAATATTCTCAGTTCCATACTGCCAGATATTCTCTACCACCCTTGATTCATCACTGTAAACTGGTAGGGTCTTGTTTTCCAGGTGTGGTGTGCATCCTTCTGAGGCATAAAAATGCTGTAGATGCCAACACTTCACTTCTTCACAAGGCATCTTGATCCCAGTGCCTAATTTTAATGAAAATGGCCTAGCCCTACCGTACTGCATGTAAACCTAACAGTACGGTAGCATGTAACATCTGTAAACTAGCAAAAATAAAAATAAATGTTGGTAGTGAGCAGATTTTGAGCTGACTAGCCTCCTACCTGGTGGTAGGCAGGTAAAACACTAAAACATTTCTAGACAGTACCTTATACTATCAATCCATGGCCAAAATATAAACTTAGTTACACCTATATACTATTAAGGAATTTTTCTTAGGGCAAATCAAATATTATTTATGTCCTGAACACTATCATTCATCTATCTTCCTGTATTTATTTACACAGCCATCACAGTAGTAGTAATTTTGGAAATATTCAACATATTTAAATTTCTATACTTCAGGAAATAACTACATGCATCATGGTAAGGTTCAAGGTTTAGTTTTATGCACCCCCTTTGCATGTCATGTCAAAGAATAATAAAAGCTATGTTTAAAAATTTGTTAATAATAATATTAAGAGAAAATTTAAGGTGTATAGGCTTATAGGAAATGCAATCAAAATATGTAAATAACTGCTGATGCAGTAACTGTACTTTGAAAGCCTGTTATATGTGCCCATCTCTTTGTTAGGTATCAGATTGACAGAATTGAATAGCACACTTGGGGACCATGCCCTCAAGGAGCTTTATGTCCAGATGTATCTTTTTTTTTTTTTTTTGGTACCAGGGATCGAACTCGGGACCTTGCGCTTGCAAGGCTGGCACTGAAACCCACTGAGCTAAATCCCCGGCCCAGATGTATCTTCAATTATTCATGGATACTACATACAGGCAGAAGGAGATACAAAGAAAAGATATGGAAAGGGAAATACTAGAATGCAAGTGAAGTTTCCCCTGAATGATAGGATTATCATTAATGTCTAGTTTACCAATGTTGTCAGCTTATTTGCTTATAATCTATTATGTTTACTTTTCCAATGATTTATTAATAAAAAATATGAGCATCATCCATGATTCAATTCAGCCAATAGAATGCTCAGAATGATGACTACTTACTAGTTCACCCTGGGAAATTCGGCAGGCAACTATGCAACTGATTGACTGTTGAGTTAAATTAAATACACTGGTTTCCACATCCCATGTCTATGGATTCTGTAATTAATGAAAGAAAGAGTTTCATTTAGCTCACCATTCTGGAGGTGCAGTGGCATGGTGCTGGTATCAGCTCAGGTCTGGTAAGGGCCTCCTGGACTATAGCATCACATGTGCTAGAGAGAGAGAGAGAGAGAGAGAGAGAGAGAGAGAGAATGAGAATGAATATTCTCAGGCAGGAAGCCAGAGAGTGGGAGGAGCTAAGTTTATTTTACAAGAGATGAGGTACCTAACATAAAAAGTTCATGAAGCCTTGCCAAGGTTGAGGTCCCCACACAACCTCCTCCAGGCCCCACCTGCTAAAAGTCAATGTCCAGCACCTCATAACCGCACCACACCAGAAACCAAGCTCCCAACGCCTGTACCTATGGGAAACACCAAACATCAAACTGTGTCCAAATCATAGCACCTTGCAGGGTTAGACTGCTGTCTGAATGCTATGGTAACAGGACAGCCAGGGATACAGTGCGCTCTGGGGAGAAACTTCCATCTTTCCAGCAGCTTATCCCCTCTCTGCCCATTTTCCAAATAATAAAATCCAGATACAACCAGAGCTGCTTCATTGCATTGATGTGGAATTTAAATGAAAAAAAAAAAAGAAAAACACTCAGAAGCCACTCAATGTGTCTATTTATTTCTATTACAAAAAAATACTTGTAGCATGAGTCTAATCTACCCTCTGATTGTCCATGGCTTGCTCCGACATAAAAATGACTAACTTTCACAGCTGAAAGAGGCTTTAGTAACCACAAGAAAGTCATTTTGCTGTATCTAATGGCCACATCGAGCAAGTGACACTGGTGTGTGAGAATATCAGACAGCAGCATGTGAGCTCCCAAGCTGGTCACTGATCATATCCACATCTGAAATTCTTTGCAATGTTCACAAAGATCCTGTGAGGTGTTAATAACCCCAACCTGACAGGCTCTTAAAGATTAACTAAAGTTTCCAATGGTGAACAGCTTATAAATAAAAGGAAGAGCCAGCACTTTATTAAGCAGCATCATATGTTCTTATCTGAGGTCTAAAGAACAAGACATTTTTTGTAGATATCATAGTTGCATTTGGTTGATTAACTTAAATGACTATTTTTTAAAATATCACTTGTTTTCCATACAGAAAAAAGGTTTCCCCCTTTTATCCTAGCCTGTCTTTGAAAGAGTCTTACACAAAATCCCAAATCAAATAACCCTGTTTTTGAAAAAAAATATAGTTGGAAAATAAATACCAAGTTCTCTATCTAATTTTACAAAGCTGTTTCCAGTTTATGTATGAGGGACTTACTAAGTAACTAGGTTTTAGTTGGAATCTCAGGTCCTCTGATAGTAAGTTTTTCACGTACACCTGAGCATTTCTGGAGAAACAAAAGTCTAACCATCTATGTCACACCTGTGAAACACTGAACATAATAAAAAAGTGAAAGTAAAAATGATAGCATATGGTCACCAATATTTAATATTAAACTAGAGAATTTACTCAACAACCAAATGCACTGATATAAGTCTTTGATTGCTCAATGCATGTTTGTGCTCTAAAATAATATGAAATATACTTCCAGCTGCATCATTCTAGTACCTCAGCATCACATTTGTGTATGCCAGGTGAAATGCTCATTGATATTTGTGAAACTGACTATTTATTTGATCCTCACGTTGTCCATATTTGAATATTTGTTTCTCTATTATATCAATCAAAGCAAAAGTAACATGAAAAATTCAATTCCCCTTTCTTGCCCCCAGAAGATTAGTAAATTTGGTTTTGCCTAAAAGTGTCCAAAGCTTAAACTCTAATCTTTGTGACTCCAAGCCTCTAGATCTTTCACTACATAGCTACCTATATTTATAGTAATTTGATAATAACCAATAACCATCCAAAATTCATGTCTACATGGAAGAGCAGAATTCCTTTTTTTTTTTTTTTTGAATAAGGACTTTGTGGGTATAATTAAGGTAAAACTTGAAGAAGAAAATCCTCCTATATTGGGTTAGATCCTAAATCAAAAGGTGAATAGCTTTATAAAAGACAGAAAAGGACCCACAATTGAGGAGGTCATGTGAAAACAGAAACGGAGGCATGACTATAGTGCCACAAGGAAGACAGGATGCATCAGAATCTGGGACAGGCCAGGATGAGAGCCTCCTGAGGTCCCTCAGAGGGAGCATGGCCCAACCAAAGTTTTCCTTTCAGAGTGCTGGCTTCCAGAGATGAAACAGGACATGTGTTTCTAATTTTAAGCCATCTAACTTAGGTAAATGTTTTCCAACAGCCAGAGACCAATCCACTTGGTGTATCTCTGGAAAACAGGTATCACTGAAACACAGCCTGTCCTCTGAAAGCAGCAGCATGCATGGTGCCCTCTTTAAGGAGTAGTGCTGCCCATATCACCCAAGGACAGTCCCTGCCCTCTGGAGCCATGTCAGAGGGCCATCTCAGAAGAGAACCTGGTGCTTGATGCATCCCGAGACAGGATCAAGGGACCTGATCTTCCACTATTTTGAGGGTGGGGGTGGCTCGTTCTCAGCAGGTGGGAGGAAGCCATCGGTGCCTGCTTTCTTGCCATTAAACTGTAACATAGACATAGAGTCTCTAAGAGGATGCCTTTGCATGCTGTCTTCTGCACAAGTAACTCTGGGAGCTTCCTCTATACATTGCTTTTTCTGTATGTAGGCATCATTCTCCAGGGGTCTGATACTGTACAAGGAAAGCAAGGATAGTGTTTTCATGCATCTACCCTAAGACATATTTTCACATATCTGTGTAGCACCTGGGAAGAGCTCTGTGGGCAGATGAGATGGAATCACTTTTCTTCTGAAGGTATTCACTTTGCCTGATCTCTGCCAAGAGGCCCCGGAGTTCTAGGAGATTCCAGTTCCACATGCAGAGGCTGACAGGAGCATCTGCTTTCCCTTGTCCTTCCCACCATTCTCATCTGCATCTGGCTCAAGGGCTGCCCTCGTGCCTCCTCACTGGGTCACCATTCAGCCTCCTGAATTCCAAGCCTATACCTTGGCCACATGTCCATCTCCAAGAAAGTCATCTCTAGTGGCCTACTTTAATGCTACCCTTCCCTTCCATCCCTTACTTCTCTCTCCATCATCTCATCCTCTGTTAATTTCTTCACAGCATCATTTATTATCATCATGTAAAATGTTTTATTTTTTCCCTTTTGTTTGTATTTTCTTTTAGTATGAAATGTGTTCATCAGAATACAATTCCACAAGGACAGAGACATTATCTTTGTCTCTGTCGTGTCCCTAGCACCACGAATAATGCTTGTAGAATGTGCTCACTCAACGAGCAAAAAGAAGGAGGAATATCAATAGCCATTGTGACTCCACACAACCTCATGGCCTCCACTGCAGAGGCGAGGAACACCCTTTCCACATTCCCAGGTGTCTGCCAATTACCTCTGGCTAAGGTTTCAGGAAGAATAGTGATATAATACTAGTGAAGGGTTTCTTTCAAATATTATAATTAAATCTATCTTTTGTTGTGTGATTCTTCTGTTGTAAAATACATCCACCATGAGGCAAAGCAAGAAGTTTAGCAACCTAATGGGGTCAGCTAGCCTTGACCTTATGGCTTGCTGCCTCTAACAGTGCCTTCCAAACAGATTAGACAGAAGTTAGTTTGACAGCTAGAAAACAGCTGAGCTGTGTTGGAAGTATTTTACATACTTGCGTAAACTCTTAGAGATAGAAGCAACATTCTCTATATGGCTGACTCAGGGAGGAAGGAAAACAACTCTGCTCAGGATTACACCACTCATAAAGGAAGTGGAAGGCTAAAATCCAACTCTCGTTTCAAATCTCTCCCTTTATTCACTTCTAAACCGTGTATCTGTAGCTGAGGATCTTATAAACTTGTCTTATACAGACTAGGTCTTATTATCAAGTCTAAAAGTCAGGGACTTCCTGGAGCAGATGCTAAGGCAATCAGCCAGTTCTTAAGACATTAATAGGCAAAATGCCTTTGGATTCAGTACACCAACAGCAAACAACCCACGATAGCAAGTGCCCTGCTTAACTGGAGCAGAACAGACCCAGGCTTTAAAGAAGCCAGGCCTGGATAAATACAGAACTTGGTAAAGATAGTGAAAGTACAGAAAATCAGCTTTACCTATCATTCTCTTTAAGACACACTTTGGAAACATTGCTCTCTGAGGAAGTGGATCTTGAATGTGCAAAGATGGACATTGTCTTTTGTTTGGCTGTTGGCATTTGGAAGCCACCTGTTAGGGTTCTATGCAGAGACAAATCTGCACTTGGCATTTCCTGGAAATGTCCTGTTCTTGTTAAAAAGGCCTTGTGGTCACCATTTCTGGAAATCTTCCAGGCTGGAGGCTGGGAGCAGCCCTGAAATGAATACTGTTGTCTAGTCGGGTGGAAGAAGTGTGGCTGAACTCCTCTCCTCCATGGCATGTGCTGGGAATGCAGAGTGAGCCTGTGCTCTGCAAGCTTCCACATAACCTTGGTCTGTTCACTTGGCCTCTAGGTCACCATTACTCAGGTGTAAAGCCACAAGGTGGGGACAATGATTATGACTAATGTCGCCTTAGCATTGAAGTTCAGCTTCTGTGCAGCATTTTCCTCTTCAGGTTTTAGAACTTAGTGAAAGACTCACCCAGGCTAACTACACACTCCAAAGCATCCTGAGTCTGTGTGTGATTTCCTGCCAGAATAAATAAACATAGCACTGTTGTCCAGTCATTCCTTCAGAAATGGCTTCCTAGTCAAAAGTATTCCAGGACCTTGCCTCGAACCAAGAATTGAATGAGACAAGACAAAAACGGTGCCAAAAGTTTATTTGAAAATGAGGGCTGAATGGGTCTGGGAAAAACCAGCTCTGCAGAGTGAACTTGGGCAGAACAGGAGAAAAAGAAGATAAAAGCAAAAGTAAAAGTACACACTGTATCTGAGAAAGGCAGTGTGGGCTATTGTGGAAAGTCACAATAGCGAGCTTCCCTTGGTGTCTGATCTCCTCTGTGGGAGCTCACAGGGAACCTGTACATATGGGGTCCTAGTATTGCCCTGAGATCTAGTGATTGACAGGTCCTGCTCATTTTCCCAGACTGCTTTGCCACTCCCTACTCCTCTATCAGCATCTCTTCGGAGTCAGGTTCATTATTCTCCAAAGCCAGGTACAGTACATGGGTCACATGGGAACAGCAGCTCCAGTTGTTGGGTGATTAGAAGGCAGGGTTAGCATACAGTTCTCTGGCTACAAGCTCCCGTTCACTTTTCACTAACTACTAATCACCTAAGGTTTCCTTTTGCTTCTTTTTAATAAAACAAAATTTAGTACATGATTGGAGACATCACGTGGATTTGATACATGTGCATAACACATCTTAATTCTTTTTGCTTGAGAAAGTTGATTTAAATTATTTGTATCTGCATGGCTTTGTTTGAATATAAAATACAGATTTACAGAATATAAAATATAAATTGTCAGAGTTCTCCGGAGAAACAGAATGGAGAAAGGAAAGAACAAGCTTTGAAAGAATCAGCTCACATAATAGCAGGAGCTAGCATGTCTGCAGGCTATAAGCAGGTCAGGAGGCTATTTGGGAACGAGGTAAGAACTGTGGAATAGTCTGGGGTTTGATACTTAGGAATATTTTTATGCTTCAGTCTTGAAGAGGAATCCGGAATCCCTCTTCTGGAAACTTCAGTCTTCTCCCTAAGGTTGTCGGCTGCTTAGGTGAGGTCTACACACATTCTAGAAGGTAATGTTTCTGGAGGATGTTCCGCTTTACACTAAGTCTGCTCATGCAAATGTCAGCCACATCTAAACTATTTCTTCAAGCAACCCAAGAATTATACTTAGCCAAACTACTTACTGGGCCCTCACCAGAGCCAGGTAAGCACATAACAGTCGCCATTCATAACTGTGTTCAGGTTTTCAATACTGCGGAGTTACTGGGTGACATGGATTTCCAATTCTGAGGGAACTAGATTACAATCTTGAATTTGCTACTGAAAAAGCTGTCTGACTTCTGATAAACTTCTTAACATTTCTAGAAGTCAGATTTCTGGATTAGATGGGATATTCTATAAGAATTCCTGCATATAATATGCATCATTTCACTAGCAGAGTGGGCGCCTCATTTGCAAGTCTCATCTCTATCTTATCTCTAGAAAGCCTTTCCTAATCCTGTTGGACTGGACTGTATGTCTCATTTCCCCTTAAAATGCTACTTGACATTTGGATACATGACATCCAAGGTCCATGGAAACAGTGCTCCCATTGCTTTGCTTACATCCATTCATTCATGGTACATGTGAAGTGCATGACAGTAATGATGGCCACTAGTTATTTTAGTTAAGGTTTTCTGTGTATTAATTCATATAAACTTTGCAACAACCCTAAGAAATAAGTATTATTGTTAACACTATCTTTTAACATATGAGAAAATTGAGGCCCAATGAGGTCACTACCAAGATCATACAGCTAGGCAACAGTGAACCAGGATGTAAATCAATGATTTGAGTCACATTGACCATGAACTTATTCATAAGAGGAGTAGGATGGGCCGGGGATTTAGCTCAGTGGTTCCGACGCCTGCCTCACAAGTGCAAGGTCCTGAGTTCAATCCCCGGTACTGCCCCCCAAAAAACACAAACACATAAGAGGAGTAGGTCTACCTCTTGTTAATCAACTCTTGTATCCATCCACTCCAGCTCAGTAACTACTCATTATAGGCAGAACAACAACCACTCCAAAAATGTTCATGTTGTCATCCAGAGAATCCACAAATATTTTAGTTTACCTGCCAAAAGGAATTAAGTTTGCAGATGAATTAAACTTCCCAATCAATTGACTCTAAGATTATCTTGGTTCAACAAATATATTTGTTATGGATAAGCCTAAGAGGGAAGCAGAAGAAAAGCAGGCAGAAAGATGGCAGTGTGCGACAGCCTTTGACCAACAATGCTTGGTCGGTGAGAGGGAGAAATGTGGCCATGCACCAGATGTGGCCTTTAGGAACTGCGAAGGACAAGAAAGTATGGGCTCCCTGGCACTTTCAGAAAGCAGCCCAGCCCTGTAGTCACGTTGATTTTAGCCCAAGAAGAGCTCCTGGAGACTTCTGGCTTCCAGATTGCAAGATAGTATGTGTGGGTTGTTTAGAACCACTGAGACTGCAACAATTCGCTATAGCAGCAACGACAGCCTGTGGGAATAACAAGATTCAAACCCAAGTTTAAAAGAAAAAAGCACAGCCATGCACAGAACTCTTTTTACAAAGGTGTTTTCCATGCATTGGATAATTTGGCCTTCACCCCATCTCAAGGTCATAGTGCCATGCCATTGTTACACCCACTGGTGAAGTGGAATGTTGGTTCTGAGAAGTACGGTCATTTCCTGGAGATGATCAGTGAGCACACCCTGAGGGGTCCTGCAGGGCAGCTTATGGCTGCAGATGCTGGCTCTGCTCCCTGCACCAGAAAGAGAATTAAACCACCCTTGCTGTGAGCAAAAAGAATGGGACAAGATGTTTAACACAGACCACCCCAGAGGCCAAGGGAGAGAGAATTCCTGACCACACACAACACCTCCACCTCAGATGCTGTGCACTGTGTATCTTGGTTAGGGTGGCTGCTTTCATTATGCTGATTTTCAAAGCCCATTAATCAGAGCTGAGCCCTTGAGGAGCCTTGGACTGAAGGTTCCAGGCTGTGTGTGGGGGGTCACAAATGCCACCTCTCCAGTACGGTGTCCTGCATAAGCTCTCTCAGCGTGACACAGCAGGCCGAAATGCATCGTGTACCCCACCCCCTTCCCTTTCCCCCATCAGGCAAAAGGCAGATCCCTGTGACTCCACTTCAGAGTCTACTTAGCTTAATTGAAGAGAATGTGATTTCTGTGAAGCGCAGGTGTTGAAGGCGGCAGTGCATGGCGGCTTATTATCTGATTTGAGGCGCTGGCCTCTAGAGGAGCAGCTTGCTGAGTGCATTTTCCAGAGCCCAGCAAGGAGAGAGGCCTCATACCAAGAGACATGGCATAGGGATTCTCATCTGTTGGTATCCACAACAGTGAAATAAGCCATCCCATGTAACACTCCCAGCAATCCTTGGGAGGGGGAGTATTTTCCTGAATAAGAGATAAAAACTGAAATTCAGAAAACTTGTGTACATTACTCAAGGTCAGACAGCACAGAAGGATTTGAGTCTCCAATTTCCCAGCCCAGTACTTTCCCCTAAGATCCTGTCATCTGCCCACTTTGTTTTCAGTACTGTAACTCCTCTGGGGCTGGGGCAGGCAGGGGATTTTGAGGAGTGAAACATGCGAGTTTTCTTATCCCTGGGACACAATACTTGACATGCACAACTTGGACAAGCAGAGGTTTAATTTAGCTCACATTAAGAGAATTCAGCATATGGTTGTCTGGCTCCAAGGCAGGAGCATCAGAGTGGAAGATCACGGTAGAGCAAAGCTGCATAGTTCATGGCAGTTGGGAAAAAGAGCAGGGGAACAGTGTCAGAGAGGAGGATGAGAAACCAGACATTGACCCTAAGGCCATTCGTCCATGCTGTACTCAAACATACCCAGAAGTAGACTCCAATTCCCAGGGTAGATCTCAAATCTAATCAAATTGACATTTCACCCTAACCTCATAAAAGGTATCCTGATTCTGACGGACGGATCACTAAAAGCTGAAGCCCTGGCTTTCTCCTTGATGGATCCTCACACTGCTGATACAGCCCTAGACTGAGCTCTCCCCAACCCTGGGCTGAGCCCTCTGCAATGCCCATTCCTGATGCATGAACCTTGACATCTGCGAATCTTTCTGAGGCTCTGTTCTGCTCTTGGGGTTGGAAATCTGAGCAAATCCTCTCAAGAGCCCATGCCAGGATTGCAGGAATTGATGCCTGTGAAGGTTTAGCCCAGTGTGGGCATATAGCAAGTACTCCGCCTTGTCAGCAGAGCCAGTTATTATCAATACATTACTCTTCTTTATCCTGGCTAGAAAGGCATCTTTGAGCCAGAGACTTCAGAGGAGTGGGTTAAGCTTATCCGTTTGTTTCCACAATCTTCACTCTATTGTTTATGTAACTGACTCCAAGGTGTAAAGTGAGTCCCCAGACCTGTGGACCCTTCAGAGCTTCCTTGATGACTCCAGGGTAGGGTTCAGCCTGCTCAGACAGTTGAAAGGCCACAGGCTGAGACCCCCACTGAGGCTTTTAGAGAAAGAGCTTTACTATCATCTTCTCAAAGACTGTGCAGAAGGGTGCTTCTGAGTACACACAGATGCCCTACCCTGTCCTTGCCTCTCTGACTCATTTCTTGTCCTCTGTTCTCTCCCACAGTGTTCTTTGTTTCTTCATCAAACCAAATCACAGAACACACTCCCGTTTCAATCATGTCCATATGGGGCGCAGTGTGTTCTTGCTTCCTGAAATATCTTCCCTGTGGACACAGGGCTGTCTCCTTCTGATCTTTTCAACACAGTCCTAATTTTTGAATACTCTCTTACTCATCTCTTCTTTAAAAAACTTTGTTCTACCTTCCCACTTGAATCTGGAGATGAAGGACAGCTTTCAGAACAACTACAATGTTGGCTCCTCTGCCCTATGCTGGGCCACATCTCCCTGAGGTCCTTCCCTGTAAGCATCTTAGCGAGCAGTCATTATAAAAGGCTCTGCCAAACAAACACACGCCATGTACACTTCTTGAGCATTAATGGCTCTATGAGTTAGGATTTTATCTCACTCTGTGTAAAAGAATCTGAAATACTAAAGAAGTCTAGAATCCTAGGCTCAGAGGTGATATGATGACCTCATTATCAAATCGAATCTCTCTATGTTCCCATCCCTGAAACATGACTGTCTAAATCAATAGGCTGCTGGAATTCCAGCTACCATATGAATTAGTGTCTTTCTCACTTGGTCAAAAATGATGGCAGGTTTCTTTGGTCTTTCTAACAAAGTTTGGGGTGCACTCATCTCTCTAAATGGATGCTGGGAACAGAAAACTATTTCCAAGAAGCCTACAGTCTACTGATGAGATTTAGAATAGCACAGTTCATATGACAGCACAATAGAAAAGCTATATATTGAAAATTAGCACATGGATTGGAGCCTTTAAAACTGACCCCATGGCGTGGGGAGGCCTCTTGAGCCACGTTTGTAAGGTGTAAGTCAGCAACCAGAAAAGTGCAGGGAGTGCGGTTCCCCTGGGAAGGACATGGGCAGGTGTGAACAAGACTAAGAGAACCACGCTCTATTCTAAAACACAGGTGCCCGTCAAAAGCATCTGTCCTCTTTCACAAGTTCAGAGCCCATTGAGGCCATGAACTCAACATTTATTCAACTGAAAGTGTGGAAGTGTCTAGGTTGTCTCTCTGTTTGTGGCAGATGGTACCTAAGAGACGAGACGGGGCTGCAGAGAAGAATGGGCAGCTCATATTAGTCATTGTGAAGAAAGAGTGAAAACAGAGAAGTAAACAAAGAAAATAGTTACAGAGTCTGAAGATAGCAATGAAGGAAATGCGCAGAGAGCTGTGATAAGCATCATGGGGAAGGGAACACACACCCAGCAGATGTCCAGAGCAGCCCTGTCTGAAACTGCCCCGGGCCAAGCATCAGGGCAGCAGGCCAGAGAGCTGCATGGAGCGTGGTCTCCCGAGGTACCCAGTGGGTGGGGCAGACTTCACTTTCACATTTTAATTATCTACTATATCTTCAATTACTTAATACATTGGCTACAAATTAGACTTTGGTCTGTCTTTTTAAAATTAGTGCCCCTCATTTAGATTTATCCTGATGGAATATGGACTTTTTTACTTGATCATGTTCTAATCATAATAGTTACCTAAATTATGTGTTCATCACCTAAAACTCTCTTTGAGAGCTTTACTGATATAAGGACTTTGGATCTGTGCATTCCACATCAGTGTTGAACAAGGGAGACTCTGCACTCTTGAGTCCGGAGAGAAGGGTACAGAAAGCCAGGTTTGTGGTCTGCCATGGTGTGTGGAGACTCTGTGGTGCAGTATGGGTGAGGATTCTGAGCCTGGCCCACAATGCACAGGGCGAGCCAGGGGAGACAGGCATTAGTTGGAGTGAATGTCTGACAGTAGAGGCTCACTGCATCAATTTACAGTAAGGCAGCAGCAATATTGCTTACTCCATCCATGTTTTATATCAAATTAAAATAACTCAAGCCCTCATTTCTGTCTTACTGGTAGTTTCCAGGCTTTGTAGTCTCCAAGCTCCAGGAACAGATGGATTCAGGCAAAAAGTCCTTGTCAGGCTTTCAGACTGAATCAAGAATTCAATGGAGCCTTCATTTGGTTCCACAGGGATTCTGTGCTGTAATCCTGTCCTGTCTAGTCTCTGACCAGAAAGATGAGGCTGAGCAGGCTGGGAGCAGAGACACTTGTGTTCATGTATTTTTTTTTTCAAAGCAAACTAACAAAACTGAAGCAGCATTCCCAAATGCATCAGGAGCAGCGTAGGCAGATGCACACCTGTAATCCCAGAACTCTTGGCAGCTGAGACAGGAGGAGCACAAGTCCAGTTCAGCCTGGGCATTTTAGGGACTTAAGAAGACCCTGCCTCAAAAATAAAAATAAAAAAAAGTAAAAATGAAAAGCCCAGGGATACAGCTGAGCGCTACAGCCCTGGATTCAATCCTCAGGAATGAAAAAAGAAAAAAAGGGAGAGAAAAAAGGGGCATGGGGGAAAGAAGAGAGAAAAAAAGAAGGAAATTCTTTTGGGTTTTTGTCTCTCTTTTCGTTATAGAAATGTATGGAGAAAGAGAGAGAGAGGAGAGAGATAGAGAGAGAGAGAGAAGCTGCTG